GTCAAAGGTCTTCATATGTGATTATAGGTCTTCGTGTGTGATTATTTTTCGCTAATCATCTCCAATTGCTTTCCATTTTTTTAAAAAAAAGATGCTTGGTGACATTCTCTCTCTTTTCTCTCTTAATGCCCCAACTCATGTTGTATCTTTGCATTTTCCCGATTGAGAGGTATTAAATTTAGCCAATGCCTCTGGTTTCTGAAGTAACTGCCTTTAGTTGTTATTTTATAGCCCATGCTGGCCTCAAACTTGCTATGTAGGTGAGGATGACCTGGAACTCCTGTCTCCTTTTTTGAGACAGCATCCCATGCTTCCCATGCTGGAATCAAACTCACTATATAGCCAAGTATGACTTTGAACTTCTGTGATTCTCCTGTCTCTGCCTCACAAATGCTCAGATTACTGGTGTGTATCACAAGGGCTGGTTTATGTGGTGCTGGGGATCAAACCCAGGGCTTCGGCTTTGTGCATACTAGGCAAGCACTGTACCAACTGAGCTATATCCCCAGCCTTTTTTCTTTTTTTGAGACAATGTCTAGCTGTGTAGCACAGGCAGACTTGAACTCCTGATTCATCTCCCTCAACAATCCAAGTGTTGGGATTACAGGCATGTGCCAGTGTGCCTTGCTATTTTATTTTCTTTAGTTATTTTTTTTCTCTTAGTTTTCTTTGTGACTTTTCTCAGATCTCCCAATACTAGATTAGACCTAATGAATAAGAAATGCTCAGAACTAGGTCTCTTTTCAGGGCTATACATGTAAGTTGCAGCTCTTTAAAATTAAAGGCATTCGAGAAGTGCATGGGAAAAGAAGACCCAACTTTAAGTGGGGAAACAGCTGGACCGGTACTGAGGGAAGTGTGCTTAAGTGAGCCTGTAGGCAGAAAATGAATGTCCTGGGGTGAGGCAGAAATTGTGCAGAGCAGGCAAAAGGAAGTTGAGTGGAGCCTTTTGTGCTCTAAGTGAGGGATGGGTTTCCTCTGAGGAAACAGCTCTTGCTACTTCCTTCCTCAGACTTAGCTGTGCTGCACGATTAGGTGATTAGTTACACAATACTATTTAAATCTAAATTAATTACACACAGTTCAAAACTTAGTTCTTAAACTCAGCATGGTAGTACACTCCATGTACTCTAGCACTCAGGTGGCAGAGACAGGTGGATCTCTGTGAGATTGAGGCCAGCCTGGTCTACATAGTGAGTTCCAGGTAACCCAGGGCTACATAGTGAGACCCTGTCTAAAAAAAAAATTCAGTTCTTTATCACAGTACAACTGCTACCTGTGGCTTGTGATTACTGTACTAGACAGACAGCACAGCTGCACAGCACAGCATTTCCACCACCACAGAAAGTTCTTTTTGCCAGGTGTGGTGACTCACACTTGTAATCCCAGTGCTCAGAGGCTAAGGCAGGAGGATTGCCAGCCCAAGCATAGTGAATTCCAGGCTAGCCTGGGCCACAGAGTGAAACCCTTTCTTGAAAGAAGAAAGAAAGAAAGAGAGGGAGAGAGAGGCAGGGAGAGAGGGAGAAGGAGGAGGGAGAGGAAGGGAAGAAAGCAGGAAGGGGAAAAGAGAGGAAAGAAAGGGAAAGAGAAAGAATAGGAGAAAGAATGAGAAAGAACAGTGCTGGACGAGACCTGGCCAAGGAATCAGGAGGGGTGCGTGCATTCCGGCCCTTCCACAGTCAAATCACTAAGTGGCCTTGGGTGTAGTTATCTGTCCTCTCCTTGCCAACCTCTTCTCCTATCACGTTTGGGTAACTAGACTGTGTACACCAATACCCAGACTCAGGCCGCCTCGGTTTCTTCATCCCTTGATCTTGCCCTCTTACTTGCTCTGGTTCTTGCTCCCCTCCTCAAGCCCCTGGAAACCAAGCTGCATAAAAAATTTTTCCATCAACTTTCACCTAGTTTCCTGGTCACAAATTTAAAGGAGGAGGAGCCACAAGATTTTTGAACAGGTGAGAAATAGGGGAGGCGTTTGGGTGCATCTATACTGAAACAGGAGAGCTAGGCACTGGCTTATTGTAAATCAACAAAACCAGCCAGGGAAGACTGGAGATTTAGCTCACTCGGTAGAGTGCTTGTCTAGCATGCATGAAGCCAGGGGTACCACATAAACCAGGTGTGGTGACATATGCCTATAATCCCAGTTCTAGGAAAATAGAGGCAGGAGGGCCAGAATTCAAGGTCACCCTCGAGGACAGCCTGAACTAAATGAGACCCTGTATCAGAAGAAAAACAAAAGGGTCCGGGAACCTGAGCTTGATGGCTCTCTGGAACCACACATAAAAGTAGAAGGAGACTAGTTGTCCTCTGATCTCCACATATGTGTACACACCCATTTTGTGGGCATACACAAAATTTTTTTTAAGTGAGCCAGGAGAGGAAGAAAATGAGCTCTGGAAAATGAATGATAAACAAAGAACAATGACTGAGACAGGAAAGAAGTTTTTTCAATTTCACTTTCTGTTCATCTCACAGTGACTTTTTGTTGTTTTGGTTTGCTTTTGGGACACAAGGTCTTGTGATGTACCCTCAGCAGATCTGATGGTACTTTGTGGCCCAGGCTGCCTTGAACTCTTGGTAATCCTCCTGCCTCTGCCTCTCAAATGCTAGATTATAGGTGTCACCACCACATCAAGCTTCACCTTGGTATACAGAACTCCAGGGAGCCTGTGTGTATGCGGAGAGTAAAGAAAAGCCAACTCTGGAAGAAGAACCAGGAATAAATTCAGCTGTGAACACGTGAAATGAACCAGAAAGAACTGTGCATTGTCCTCTGCCATCTCGGTTTCTCATACGAATAAAATAATTTCAATTAGTAGTGAAATGCTTTATCAATCAAATCATCAATACTCTGTAATAAATAGGAACTACCAAAACATGTCTGTCCTAGTTTGTCTCCCCATTGCTGTGACAAAACACTCTAATACCAACTTGGAGAGGAAAGGCTTTATTTAGCTTACATATCCTGGGTCACAGTTCATCCAGGAGCCCAAGGTAGCAACTCAGGACAGGAACCTGGAGGCAGGAGCTGGAGCACAGGCCATGGAGGAATGCTGCTTACTGGCTTGCTCCCCTGGCCCCTGCTTTCTTATGCAACACAGGCCCACCTGCCCGGGGTGGCACCACCCACAGGGGGCTGGGCCCTCCCACATCATTCAACAATCAAGAAGGTGCCCCATGGACATGGTCACAGGCCAATCCAATGAAGGCAATTCCCCAACTGAGGCTCCCTCAACCCAGGTGTGTCAAGTTGACACTAAAGCTATCCAGCACAATGTCCTAAGGGAAGAGGGTGGGGCTAGATAGTCAAAAAATATTGAGTTCTGATTATGTGTTAAGAAATATGCTGAGAAGTATAAGGATAAAAAATTACCCAGGTGTGGTAGTGCACTCCTTTAGTCCCAGTACTTGGGAGGCAGAGGGAGGTGGATGTCTGTAAGATTCAGGTCAGTCAGGGCTACATAGCAAGGTCCAGGCCATCTGGGGTACAGGGAGACTGTCTAAAAAACAAAACAGCTGCCTCCAAAAAAATCTAATACCTTTAAAACTCTGTAGATCTGGAATAGCTATTCTTTTTTTTTTAAAAAAAAAATTATGAGTATTTTGCCTGCATGTGAGTGCATCACATGTGCAAATGCCTGCAGAGGCCAGAAGTGGGCATTGGGTCCCCTGATGCTGGACTTACAGATGGTTATTAGCTGCCATGTGAGTGCTGGGAATCAACCCTCCTCCTCTGGAAGAACAGCCAGTGCTCTTAACTGCTGAGCCACCTCTCCAGCCCCAGAAGTTATTTTTATCAGCATGTAAACCAGGTTTATAATGGGAGAGGTCCCTATAATTAGTTATGAAAAAGGGAACCTCAGCCAGACATGCTGGTATATACCTGGAATTCCAGCACTTGAGAGGCTGAGACAGGATTGCTGTGAGTTTAAGGCCAGCTTGGGCTGTTATAGTGTGAAAACCTATCTCAAAAAACATCATCCTCACTGGCAATCCTGTCTTTTGGGTACGTGGACTAAGGCCTGAGACAGTCCTGACCCGGTTCTTACTCTTTGAATTTGGTGATTGCTGGGTATTGAGGGTCCTCAAGTAGCAATCCTTAGGCCAACCCCACTATGGCCTTCCTGCTTCCCAAGTATCTTAACATTCATCTCTTCTGTTTCTGGCATTTCTGTCACCCTGTACCTTCTCCCCAGAGCCACCCGCCTCTTTTTAAGGCAGGGTCTCCTTGTAGCCCAGCTGGCCTGGCACTCGCTATGTAGACCAGGCTGTCCTCGAACTCAGATCCCCCTGCCTCTGTCTCCCAAGTGCTGGGATGAAAGGCTGTGCTACCACACCCAGCTTCCCACTTTGTTTTAAAAAGGAACCTCTCTTCCCTTCCAAATCCCCTTTTGAACAGTTTCTCTGTATTTAATGTCTAAACTGGACATGGGGGCTGGCGAGATGGCTCAAGGCACCTGTTACAAAAGTCTGAGGCTCTGATCTCTAGGACCCACATGGTAGAAGAACTGATTCTTCCAAGTTGTTTTCTAACTTCCACATGTATGCCTGTATTCATTCACATACACACCACCACCACCATCATAAAAACTCTGGGCATGGTAAGGTGTGTCTTTTATCCCAGTATCTGAGCAGTGGAGCCAAGATTAGAAATTGAAGGTTGTCCTCAGCTACATAAGCTACTTAATCAAGTTCAGGGCCAGCCTGGGATACATGAGACTGTGTCTCATAAACACTAAAACTGAAGGAATTTAGTCATGATTAGGTATGGATGTGGGAAATTAGCTGCCATCTGCAGATCCCACTAATTCTTTAGTGAGTCAGAATACAAACCAATCTGCTGGATGGAGTGCCCCCTCTTCCTCTCCAACCCACTTCTGGGGCTGACAGGGAGCATCTGTTTTCAGTTATCTTTAAGCAGGGGAAAACTCCTTTATACACACCTATTTTCTAATAACTTCTCTAATACCATCTCAGAAAAGAAACATTTTTTTTGCCATTAAAAAACTTTATTTATTATTTTTTTTTTTACAAATGATATCCCCACATTGGGGTGAAAATATATCTGGATAAGTACAAAATATAGTTTTCATCATACAAAAAGGTATACAATCAAAGTACAAAAACAACAAAGATGAAACCACCTTCACCATATACTTCTGGCTGCAGTGATTCTCAGAGGAGGGTGGAGCTCAGTGCTCTGACACAGGACATCAAACAAAGTGCTGTGGCTGAGGGATTGACCAAGTGCTAGTGGCTTTAGGGAAGGGGTTGAAACAGCCCTTTCTCCCAACACTGAGCAGGAACCGGGTCTCCGGGACTTTGATGAAGACCTGCCCTCTAGTTTCTCACTGCAGTGCACTCTGATCCATGTTGGGGCATCTTGATCAAGAGTCCTACCTGGGGCTTGGAGAAGTTGCAGGGCAAGGTTGACAGCAGCAACCCTTCATATGACCAGTGTCAGAATTCTGACCCTGGGACCAAGTCTCAAAAGTAGTAAACCCCCACTTTTTAAAAAATTTTTCTCATTGGGCTTACCCCCAGAGACATAAACTAGTAACTTACATCTGTAATAGAGAGAAAACAAAAAAAAATTGACAGGAACTAAAGTGCTGAGAGCATCACCTTAGAACGGATTCCAAGGAGTCAGAAGAAAAGAAAACCAGATTCTCCCATCTGATTCTATTTACGATGGGAGAACACAGTGCAACAGGCCGTACAATGGCTTTGACGGTCTTTGGTGGGGCAGAGTCACTACTGCTTTAAGCCCAGGATAAAGTACACTTTAAGCAAAGCCATCTCAGAACAGCTTCCCTGTAATTCACAGGGCATGTGCTCTCCAAAGTGCAAACCACACCAGCCTTGGAAGGTTTTCTTTTTTCTTAAGTGTATAAATCAAAAGGGAACACTTATTTAAAAAAAAAATAGTGAAACACTCCTTTTTCAAAATTTTGGCCATGATTGTCCTTTTTTCTAGTATTGACTTTGTTACACAAGTTCAAGGTTTGCTGTTGTTTTCACAATCTATAATTCCCTTCAAAAAACCTTGGAAAGATCATGCCAGAAGGTCACTGATACCCTATCTCAAACTATTAACAACGTCTTAATTTCCAAGTTCTGAGAAAGTGGACCAAGTCCAAAATTCTCTAGGGTGTTTTTAAATCCACCCAGCAAACACTCCTATACCACAGTGTGGGCACTGGCTGAGGACGAGTCTGCACCATTTGAGGCCCGAGAATTGCCTGCTGATTACCACCCATGTTGGGGAGTCAGAGGCTCGGGTGGACCCATACCCCGTTGTAGAGACTGCTGACTGAGTCTCCGTAACATTAGAGTCCAAGAAGAGAGGCAGAAAGAAACAAGTAGAAGACAGTTGCTTCTTCGGCACACTCACTGCACATTGTTGTTAAGGATGCAAGGATCCACCTGGGAGGAAGAAAGAAGACACCATTTTAGCTTGGTTAAGAACTAGAAAAAAAATTCATTTAATAATCTTTCCAAGTCAACTTCCCACAGAAGGCCCAGGACATATGTTAACAGTAAAAATGACAATTCTCACCTCAGTGTAAGTGGGTGGTGGCATGAACTTGAACTCAGGAGCATACATAAAGATAGGACTGTCTTGAGACTCGTCTGCGTCATCTAGCAGTGGAGTGGTGGGGCTCTCCAATCTGTGATCTTCAGGAATGATATCCATATAGCAAGGAGGAGCTTTATAAAGAGAAAAAATGGGATAAGAAGTCTAGCTAAGAAATGCCAGTCTATCACTTATAAAAATAAGCCCAACAAAAAGAGAAGGCATGAGGTCGAGCTCACCTTCTGGGGTGTCAGGGATGTTTAGATCTATCCAACTCATTTCAGAGCTGGTTCGGCTGGCCATGCTCGATGTCCGGCTGCTCAGACCTGATCTGCTGCCAATTACCAGGGGTAAGTCAAGGATGACTTTCTTGGAGCCAGGGACACTAACATAGATCTAGAAAAGAAGGTGACGGTTAGATGGGTGGTCTAGAGAAAGCACAGCACTTGTAACTAATGAAGAGTTTCTCTCCTAGAGTCAAGTCTACACTCACTCACCAGCAAGGAATATTCAACTCGAAGGATGTTGCAGCCCAGAATAGATGGCCTGATTTTCTGCACCCGAAGGCTCTTGCCACGCCATGATGCACAAGTCCCTGAGATAATATGATTGCCTCTGACTGATGACAGCTTCTGAGTCAGCACCTTGGTCTGGCCATTGGCAAGGTAAGTGTGTCGGGCCACAATAGCGGCTTTGGGAACCACAATTCGGGAACATGTGTTCTCAAAGTCAGCATGGATGGAAATGTCATCACCTAGGATTGAGGGAGATGAAATAGTATGAACCAAATAACCATCAAAGTTAATGGTATTTTGTCTGCCTCTACTCCATGAACTGACCCCCCCCCAAACCCACATTTCCTACTAGTCTGTCCAGTATTTTAAGTACTACGCTTTTACCTTCACAGAATCCCTTTCTCTCGATTCGAGCAGAGACAGACACGCGCCCATCAGGAATGAACATACAGGAAACCTTCTTCTCCTTTTTAGCAGATACTGGTGCCTGTGGAGGAGGAAACAATATTTTGAGATATTTTAATGCCCCAAACATCTCATTTATCATTCTGTGACCAAGGAGAATAGAATCTTAAAATAAACCTCACCATTAAATCAGGGGTATTAACATCCACTAGATCCATCACTTCAAAATTTTTCTTTGCCTCTTGAGTTGGCTGGCTGGGGCGGTCAAGAAAAGCCTTCACCCAGTAGTCTACACAACCGTATTTTCCTTTGAAAGATGTTCCCAGAGGTCTGTGTGTCAAAACAATTTAAAAAAAAAAATGTTTTTTTAATGCTTTCTAAGAACAGTAAGTGATTAAAGGAGGAAAAAAATTTTCAGAAATCAAAGAGTTCAAAAGATGTAATTTTGCTGACACCTACCCTTGGGGAAGCTCAAAGCCGAACTTGTACTCGTATTTGTTTCCTGGTCTCATGATCACCATCTCGTTCTCACCTGAAGGAAAAGAAAGGCAAGTAGCCATTAGATTTTGTTTTTCATCTAAAGTGATGATGAATTTTCCCACATCTAGTCCTCCTATTTTAATCTTATATTCTTGAGACTCTAGTTCACTTTCTAGGGCAGAAAACTGCAAAGCCCTACAATATGTTGCCCCAGGAATCCAGTCAAGACTGTGCTAACTTATTTACGAATACAGAAATCTTTAAGAAGCTAATAAGCCAACAACTTTAAGAAACGGCATCTAGGAAATTGTGCCAATCACCCTTTGGGGACATAGAGAAATGCTTGCAAATTAGAACTAAAAAATAGGATCCAACACAGAGTTCAAGCCACTCAAACAGAACAGCTTAAAACATTTGGTAGAGGCTGCACTTAGTCCTTTCAGATCCCCACTCACTACTGACCCTCCAATAATAAGCAACTGGGTCAGTACCTGTTGGCTGGTCTTCCAGGAGAAGCGTGTCTTCATAGCGCAGGTAGTCCAAGGTCTGTTTGCACTGCTGGGACCCCTGCAGCCACAGGACCTTGGCCACTCCGCAAGCCAGGATCCTGACGGCTTTGACTCGAGTAACTTCACACACCTCCACTATCACCCGGCCGGCCACCTTCTCCCCACTGCCATACACCTTTTCAGGGTCATTAAAGACCACCTCAAAAGACTTGATCTTCTTGAACATCACCATGGTTGGGCTGAGTTGGCTCAGAATAAAACCGAGGCAGGAGAGCGGGATAAAAACTGCCGAACTCCAAAGCTAAGAACAGCAAATTAGAGTTCACTCTCCGTAAGGGATGAGTGACCCCAAGCAGACAGGGTTTTAAAAAACAAAAATGTCAAGAATCCCGCAAAGTAATCCTAACTATTAAGTTCTCCAAAAGGTGGCTCAAAGTTTCAACCTGCTGGCTGCTGCAAGGCCTTTTAGGACCAGGGGCCTTTCCTTTCCGCCAGCGGCTGGATCTCGGGAGAACCACTGCTGGAGACCCGACCGAGAAAGGAGAGTTTCAATCAGGAGCCGGAAACGCATCTATATAGTAGCCGAGCCCGCAGAGCCACGCGAGCGCAGGCCGGGAGGCTCGTGCTGCCCTCGTGCACAGCTCCCCCATTGGCTGGCCGGCCCTTGTTTACCAGGACTCCAACCAATCGGCGAGGTCTCCGGGGCGCGTGGACACGGTGTGCTCCTGGCGCGGAAAATGGTTGTTGTTCCCGGGTGCGCCCGACTGGCGGGGAGGAGGGGCAGTGGACCGCGGGGGCGGTGGGTGGCTTTCCCCGGGGAAGCGGTGGGGCCCGTGCCGGAGACCCTGAGCCCTTACCCGGGGCGAACAGCTGGTGGCCCGTGGGCCTGGAGGCAGCTGGCCCGGGAGCAGTGAGGGAGTCTCTTTTGGTTGTTTTTTTAAGGTAAAAGGAAAATGTGCTTAGGAGAGGATTTCATGCCTGGTCTTAGCCAGAGCAGTTAATTTGGAGGCAAGCGTTTATTCCTTGGCTCGCTAGTTTGCAAGTCTGTGAAAAACAATCCCACAGGTCCAAGAATACTTGAGGATGGGGGGAGGGCAGGGAGAGCAGAGGTTTTTATGCAGAAAGACCCACTTTGTCTTTCTGCATCTCATATGTTGAACAAAAAGCTGATGTCTCTTCAGAGGAGAACTTGTCACACATTTTATCCCCGTTGCAGTTGGCACATGGGAATGCTGTGTCCCTTCGTTTTCAAGCTCCTCTGTGCTGTGGCTGCTCCTCACCCATGTACCCTCTAGTCTGTTTTCTGTGTTCTCTGGAACGGAAGTAGTCGGGGAGTGTCCACATCCTGTTGCTTATCCCTTATCGCTTCAGTGTCTACCTGCGAAGTTGAGGAACACTGTGTATATGTTCCCTCATTTACCTCATACATAGCTCCTTTAGTGAGGTGTGTCCTTTCAGACTGACATCTCTCTCTGTCCCTACTTCTCCAGGAAAGAAGGTTGGAGAGGGTAAAAAGAAAGGAAGAAAAGGATACGCCACCCTCTTCACTTTGTTCCCAGCCACTGTCACTCTTCCCCCTCCTCCCGCCCCCTCCTCTCCCCAGACTCACTAAATCCAATGCACATCCCTAAGCCTGCTGTCTCGCACTCGGGTTCAGGTTGCTTTGGTTTTGTCTGGTAGATCTTGCTATCTGCATGATGCCTCAGGAGCTGACTCTTAAGAAATTATTATTAAGCGTGCTAAGAAAAAATTGTATGCAAAATAGGAGGGATTTGTCCTTGTCTTTGATGCCTAGACCCTTCCCGTATCTGGGCTGAGGTATCAGAAGATGATTACCTCATTCCTTGTTCTGGAAAGAGAGAGATAAAGGCCCTAAGTTTCAGATGGAGAAGTAAATAAGATTTGGAGTATATAAAAATACTACCTTCTACACAAATAGAGGCCTGTTCATTGCTGTTAATGAATACCACCCCCCCAACACACACACATGCTTCCTAACACGGTCTAACTAGGCTGACACCCTAAGGCTCAACCCCAACATTAAGCAAGCTCAGAATTGAGCACACTGTCAGAAAACACATACACAGCACCAAACCCCAGAACATGTTGATCCTTAGGGTGTGTGGGTTTGTTCTAGAGAGTTAACTAGGCTTGAGGTGTTCTTAGATGATAAACAAGATTGAAGAGCAAGAAAGGTGGAACTCTAATTTTGGAAGTTTGAAATTGTGGTGAAATTTTTAGCTTGATGGTACAAAACATCCAAGTGTTTACCAAAAGTTCATGAATCAGGATTGTTATTGCAGAATGGAGATATGTAAGATTTGAGGAGAGCCAGCTAGATGGTGCCAGGCCTGACAACCTGAGTTTGATCTCCAGGACCCACATAGTAGAAGGAGAGAATTCATGCATGTTGTCCTCTGACCTCCACATGCACACTGTGGCATACACACACCCAGAGACACACAAAATAAATAACATGTAATAATTTTTTTTTTTAAAGATTTGAGGAGATAGAATTAGTGGCTGTTCATGGATCAGTGAGGGTTGATTTGGGGCATCTCAGAAAAAAGGAAATGCTGATTTTTTTTTTTTAGATTGTCTATGAAGTACTGACTTTTTTGAATTTTTAAAAATCCTATGGCCATAGCCAGGTGTAGTGATCCATGCCTTAAATCCAGCACTTGGGAGGCAGAGGCAGAGGCAGGAAGATCTCTGTGAGATCCAGGCCAGCCTGGTCTACATAATGGGTTCCAGACCATCTGGGGGTACAGGGAGACCCAGTCTCAAAAAAAAAAAAAAAAAAAAAAAAAAGAATCCTGTGAACAGTTCTGTCTTGTTGCTCATGGCTTGCTGTCTCTTCCCACTTTGTAGCACTCACTCCAGACCACTTGTTTGCTCTGTGTTAGGCCAAAAAACTGTTTAACTTTGGCAGCAACTGCTACCAGGCCTACAGCCAAGGCATGCTCGAATTGGCAGCCTCCTAGACAGAGTTGTTTATAACCTTTCACCTGGGATTCTGATCAAAATCTGTCCCTCCTCACCCACCCCGTACTCTCAGTTCTTGGGTCAAAGAAATTAAAAAAGTCTTGTGAACCCTGTCCTGGAAACAGTACAGATATTTGTATGGTACAGGGAAGAGGACAGATGTGCCCAGGAGCGAAGCAAAGCAGGGGTGGGTCCAGCAGTTTGCAAGTTAGGTCATCATTTAACTGTCCCTTTCCCATCCCCTTCATCCTAGTGCCAATAGGAAACCAAGTGGTGATTGTCTTTTGTTTGCTTTACTGTAGATGACACCATAAAGCCAGAGCTTTCAGGGAGGGAAGTATTCTGGGCCTTGTCACCAGGGGACAAGGCCAAGATTCATTTCTTTTTTCTTTAACCTCTGGCCTCACATTTAGAGCTCTGAAGACTCGTGGCTTAGAATGCAAACCAGGTGTCTTTCTTTAATCACTGTCACTACCCTCCACTCTGTAAATTTGTCTTTGCCTTTATCTGCCCCCTTCTTCCTGTTTATCCCTAAGGAATGTTAGTTTAGAGTCAAGAGATGAGTGTGGGATTTGAGACTGCCCTGTTGTATATATAATTCCAAGTCATAGATAAATAATAACTATATAGTATCTTTATTTTTTAAAATATTTTTATTTTTTTAATTTTTTAATTTTTTAATTTTATTTATTTTTATAGAAGGAAGAGTTTACTTTGGTCTTTTTGAGACAGGGTCTCCCTGTAGCCCCAGCTGTCCTGGAACTATGTAGACCAGGCTGGCCTT